TCCATAAAACTAATTGCTCCAGCCAATCCCCCCTCTAAAATCTGGGGTTGTGCTATATATAATTTTATTAGCACATAGTTTCCACAGTACTAGACACACTTTTGATAGAAACATTAGAGAATAACATTAAGTGAAAGTATTATTAAATCCTGCATTTTTGCAAAGATTTGTAAGTAAAGGTGATATGAATTGTTCTTATTACTATGATTTCACTACTTTTACAAAATGTTCCCCAGAAAATTTACTACTATATTATGAGCAATGGTCTGAATAAGTACAAGAAACAAAAAAACCCCTCCCCAAGTAGTCTTTATGAAAACAAATGAAAAGTACATTTTGTGATGCAGTATCCTTAAATGTTTCTTAAAACATTTTATTTCCATAATTGATAATATACCATATTTATATGTTTTAATAGGTCTTCCAGTGTGGAGTATGGATTAGGAAGTCTTTGATGTCTTTTAATAATAATATATTAAAACTCTTGTGTATTATATTCCACGAATGTAGGTTTTTTAGCATTTAATAATTTATCTATTCAGATATTAACTTAAAAAATAAAGGGAATAAAGGGATCAGCAAAATTAGTTTTTCCTAAAATCTATCTTGGTATTGACCTGGAAAAATGTGGGCAGTTGGGGTCCCCCAAGGCTCAGTCCTTGGACTTGTGCTATTCAGTGTTTTCATCAGTGACTTGGATGAGGGCATGGAGAGCACTATGTCCAAATTTGTGGATGACACAAAATTATGGAGTAAAGTAAGCACACTAGTGGGAAGGGATTGAATCCAGGGAGACCTGGACAGGTTGGAAAAGTGGGCAGAAAAGAATAGGATGCAGTTCAACAAAGACAAGTGCAAAGTGCTGCATCTAGGGAGAAGGAGTCACCAACACACCTATAGGCTAGGGGATGACCTTCTCAGCAGCACATTGGCAGAAAGGGATCTCGGCATCATAGTTGACTCCAAGATGAATATGAGCCGTCAATGTGATGAAGTAATCAGTAAAGCTAACTGCACTCTATCACATATTAGCAGGTGCATCACAAACAGGTCCAGGGAGGTGGTACTTCCCCTCTATGTGGCACTGGTCAGGCTGCAGCTGGAGTACTGCATCCAGTTCTGGGTGCTGCACTTCAAGAGGGATGTGGATAACCTTGAGAGGGTCCAGAGGAGGACCACTCGTATGGCTAGGGGCCTGCAGGTAAGGCCCTACGAGGAGAGACTGAGGGACCTGGATCTCTTCAGCTTCTGCAAGAGAAGGCTGAGAATAGATCTTATGGCCATTTACAAATTCATCGGGGGGTGGGGCAGCAAGAAATAGGAGATGCTCTGTTTACCAGGGCACCCCTTGGAATAACCAGGAACAATGGCCACAAAGTGACAGAGAGCAGATTTAGTTTGGACATCAGAATGTACTTTATGGTAAGGGTTACCAGAATCTGGAATGGGTTTCCAAGGGAGGTGGTGCTCTCCCCTACCTTAGGGGTCTTTAAGAGGAGACTGGAAAAGCCCCTAGCTGGGGTCATATGACCCTAGTGCTCTTTCCTGCCCAGGGCAGGGGGTCAGACTCAATGATCTATTGAGGTCCCTTCAGACCCTAACAACAATGAAACTATGAAACTTAAACTTCCCTTACTGCAACTTGAGACCATGTCTCCTTTTTCTGTTATCTGCCACCACTAAGGACAGTGTAGCTGCATCTTATTCTACCCTTCAGGTAGTTGAAGGCTGTTATTTAATCCCCCCTCAGTCTTCTCTTCTCCAGACTAAATAAGTCAAGTTCCCTCAACTTCTCCTCAGAAGTCCTTTTCAGTCCCCAGTCTAACCATTTTCATCGCTCTCCATTGGACTCTTTCCAATTTGTCCACCCTCTGTAGTGGGGCCCCCAAAACTGGACACAGTACTCTGGATGTGGCCTCATTAGTGCTGACTAGAGGGGAATAATCACTTCCTTCAATCTGCTGGCAACACTCCTGCTAACGCAGCCCAGTATAGTGTTAACCTTTGCAACGAGGGTACACTGTTGACTCATATTGTACACTGTAACCATCAGGTCCTTTTCTGAAGAGCTGCTGCTTAGCCAATCAATTCAGAGTCTGTACTGGTGTATGGGATCATTCTGTCCTAAGTGTAGGAATTTGCACTTGCCCTTATTGAACTTAATGAGATTCCTTTTGGTCCAATCCTCCAACTGGTTGAGGTCTCTGAATCCTAGCCTTAACCTTCAGCAATAATATCTACTATTACCCCCAGCTTGTTGTCATTTGCAAAGTTGCTAAGGATGCATGCCATCCCATCTTTTAGATCGTTGTTGAAGATATTGAACAAAACCAGCCCTAGGACGAACCCCTGGGGCACTCCACTTGATACCAGCTGCCAACTAGACATAGAACCTTTGATTACTACCCTTTGAGCCTGACAATTCAGCCAGTTTTTTATCTACCTTACAGTCCATTCATCCAACCTGTACTTCCTTATCTTGCTTGTGAGAACGTTGTGGGAGACCATATCAAAAGCCTTGCTAAAGTCAAGGTATATCACATCCACTGCTCTTACCGCATCCACAGAGCTGCTCACCTCATCAGAGAAGGCAGTCTGGTTGGTCAGGCATGATTTATCCTTGGTCAATCCATGCTGACTATTCCTAATCACCTCCGGTTCCTCCAGGTTCTTAGAAGTGGATTCCTTTAGGACCTGCTCCATGATTTTTCCAGGGATTAAGGTGAGGCTGACCAGTCTGTAGTTCCCTGGATCCTCCTTTTTCCCTTTTTTAAAAATGGGCACTATATTTGCCTTTTCCCAATCATCCAGGACCTTTCCAGATCTCCATTAGTTTTCAGAGATAATGGAGGTTGGCTCTATAATCATATCGGCCAACTTCCTCAACACGTTTGGGTGCATCACATCCAGCCCATGGACTTGTATACTTCCCTAACCTGTTCTTTTGCCATGGTAAGATGCTTCCCTCCTCCACAAACTGTGTTGCCAAGGGCAGTAGTCTGGAAGCTAACCTGAGGTAAAGCCTGAGGTAAAAAAGGCATTGAATACTTCTGTCTTTTCTGCATCATCTGTCACTAGATTGAGCCCTGTCCCCCAAACATTTAGGGACCCACACTTTCTCTGATCTTCCTCCTTTTGCTGACATACTTGTAGAAACCCTTCTTGTTATCTTTCATGTCCCTTGTGCAACTCCAATTGCACTTTGGTCTTCCCAATTTCATCCCAGCATGCCGGAGCACTACTCTTATACTCCTCCCTAGTCATTTGTCCAAGTTTCCACTTCTTACAAGCTTTCTTTTTAGTGTTTTAGGTCACTGAAGAGCTTTCTGCTAAGCCATGCTGGTCTTCTGCCATACTTATTAGTCTTCCTGAACATCACATGGCTTAGTACCGGTATCCTTAACAGAATCATAGAAAATGAGGGTTGGAAGGGACCTCAGGAGATCATCTAGTCCAACCCCCTGCTCAAAGCAGGACCATCCCCAACTAGATCATCCCAGCCGAAGCTTTGTCTAGCCAAATTTTGAAAAACCCCAAGAATGGACCTTCCACCACCTCTCTGGGTAACCTGTTCCAGTGTTTTACTACCCTTCTAGTGAGAAAATTCTTCCTAATATCTAACCTAAACTTCCCTTGCTGCAACTTGAGACCATTGCTCCTTGTTCTGTCATCTGCCAACACTGAGAACAGTCTAGCTCCTCCTCTTTTGAACCCCCCTGCAGGTAACTGAAGGCTGCTATTAAATCCCCTCTCATGAAGTAGTCATTCTGAACATAGGTCCTACTACAGACAGAGGGACTCTGGGCAGCCAGCAACTTTGACAATTAGGGTTAGTAGTTGAGGAGCCTAAACATGGATTATGGGGTTTGAATCTCAAGCTTGAAAAACTGGTGTAAGTAATAAGACCTTGTGCCAGGATCTCAGTTGATTCATGCATATCATCCCTGCAACTCCTGGAAAAACTCTGGGAGAGCATATAGTCTCTCCATGGTTGCTATACTAGCCCATGAGCTTGAATAACAGCTGCGGGTCCTTTGTGCCTCTCATTAATATGAGTTGTAGACACTGAATTAATTCTAACTTTGATCCATAACTCATCTCCAAAGAGTACCATCCATTCCAGGCATTTTAGGCTGAAGCATATCATTCTACTTTCAGCAATACCTATGGGAATCCATTGAAATCAACTGAAGAGAGAGTTTGTCACTAGCAGTGTAACACTGTAATCATTGGGATAATCATTTTCACCAGTGATATGAACTCTATGATGTTTCACTTGTGTGCCTGAGAGAGAATCATATTCTGTTATTTTTTAAGCTTCTCTTTAACTTGTGTTTTAAAACCTAGTTGCCTGAGATTTCCACTTTTAAAATCTGAAAGTTGTAAGTATAGTGCAAACTTCAAACCATTCTGAACTGTTATGTCAAATCTGAGTTGCATAAACTTCTGAATAAGCCCATTTTAAGAATTCTTAGTTATCTCTTCTAATTTTCCCTGAGCCTATTTCATCTCAAGTGCTGAGTTTTGAAAGTTTTTTTTTTTCAAATTCAGAGTACAGTTATTCAGGAGGAAGTGCACATACTTTCATGCAATTTATAAAACCATAAACTTTCATGTGTTCCACTGTTAGTTCTATTGCTGCTTTATAGGTATTGTACTGTACTGTAATACATGTCTGCTTAGAAGGCTTTAAAGACTGGTCTAAGTTTAACTGAGAAAGTTGTACATATCAATTGGAAGAGTTGTTTTACCTTTGCAGATATATCACGTGCTACTTCTAAACCATTGTTGTCGGTAGATGTTCAAGATCCTTTTGACTTACTGGTAGATACTGAGTTAAAACCTGCTTCTGAAAATGATTAATTAAGCTATAAGAAAATCTTTACTGAAACATAATGTTTTACCAGATATGTTATGTGGTTCAAAGTAAGAGAATCTGTGTCAGTGTCACTGTAGGCAAAGCATGACAACCTTCAAAACCCTGCTTTTTGCTTCTTTAGGATAGAAAATTATGCTGATACAGAATCTTCTGTTCAACTGGATGATTTAAAACCTGTTATGAATGGAAATGAAGAGAATGAAAAGCTTCAAGTTAAAATACAGGCTTTTGAAGAAAAAATAAGTATCGACAATAATACTCCTGGCTCTGTGCGCAGATACAGTGTTGGCCAGTTTTCTAAAGAAGAAAGGAAGGAAATGCGATTTAATAGGTATGGTTCTATAGAATACATGATTGGTTTTCATGAATATGTTTTACAGCGAAGCTTTATTCAATCATTAGGAGAAAAGGTCCAGTTGTATAATACCAGAGAGCACTGTGAATCTAAATCTAGCCTGGTCCTATGTCGGTAAGCCTTAAAGTGGGATAAGAGGTTTTGGTTTATTTATTCAGTCTGTTTTGTGCCCTGGCAGAGAAGCTGGAGAAAAATGTTTGTGTATAGAACAGGCTAGAAATGAGGATTCAGAGAGCTCTTTTGGATGTTACTAGTAAAAACTCTGATATTGGTTTATTGCTGTGTCAAGCTAAACTTGACTCTAACTAGATTTATGGTGGGACAAGGACCAGTTCAAACAAGTTGCAGCTACAAAGTGGCCCCAGCAACTCTACTAGAAGTTTTATTTTTCACGTTCAAATACTGCATGGGTGGAATAGGATATTTTATACTGACTTAGTGTTCTGTGGCCAAAACTTGAGCCACTGAAGAATTGAGACATTTCTTCCCACAATGTTCCCTTTTCCCCCTGGTTTTCTTTAAACACACATAGACCATTTCAGTTTCCTATTCTCATTCCTCCTGTTTCTCAGCACTGGTGAGGCTTCATCTGAAGTACTGTGTCTAGTTTTGGCCTCACACTTCAAGAAGGATGTGGAAGTTTGGAAAGAGTCCAGTGGAGAGCAACAGCAAAGATTAGAGTCCTCAGAACTATGACTTACGAGGAAAGGCTAAAAAAACCTAGCATTATTGATCCTGAGGAAGAGAATACTAAGGAGGGATTGATAAGTCACCCAGATACCTGAAGGACAATTATAGAGAGGATGGAGATGGGCTTTTCTCCATGACAGTAGGAGACAGGACTAGAAGCAGTGTCTTCGAGGTTCAGAAGCACAGATTTAGGTTAGAAATTAGGAGGAACTTTCTGACTATGAGGGTAGTCTATCTTTGGAACAGGCTATCCAGAGAAATAGTGGAATATCCATCCTTGGAAGTTTTCAAGACCAAATTGGACAGACATTTGGCTGGGATGGTCTAGTCATGCTTTGAGCAGCCTTGGCCAAGAGACTGCACTAGACCAACTCATGAGGTCCGTTCCAGCCCTATTTTCCTATGATCTAACTCCCTTTGAGAGAGTAAAGTTCCTCAGGTAGTGGGCATGGTAGGCAACAAGTGGTGAGGAAGGTGTCTTTTGAGGGGCTGATACTTTTTTGCCTTGCATCTTAGGTAGTCATTTGGGTATGTGCAAAATGAGTATGAAATACACCCAGATTAGAGTTCCCCATTCACCATGTTACAAACAGTATACAAAGGTGTAAATGGCTACACAAAGTGCAAGGGAGTGGAGAATCAGGTCTTAAATCTTGGATCTTGCAGTTGCAGGAGGCACAACAAAAGGACTTTGAGAGGGGATCTGGGTTTGGTTGAACCATTGCTGGATGGGGTTATTTTAAGACATAACTGATGGACTATGAACTTAGGGTGCTTATACATGTGCTCTGATATGTTCTAATTAGAGCACATCAGAGCAGTCTTGATTAATTGAGTCTGCTCTGTGCTCTCATTAGAATGCTTTATCATCACTGCAGTGTCAAGTGTATAAGCCCATGTGGGTTTAAAAATGGCTGCTGGGGTGTTTTAACTAAAGCTTGTCAAATGAGCTTTAGTTAAAGTGTCCCACAGACATTTTTAAATGCACAGGGGCTTAATACACATGCTGCTGTGGTGTTTTAATTAGAGCAGCTCTCCAGGAATAGGCACCCTCAGATGTTAATTTAGTCCAGTATAGATATGGTACTACAGGCTCTACTATACATGTGTTGTGGTATATGCATTTGTGATATACATGGGCATTGTATTAGTTGGCTTCACTTGCTCACTTCAGCTGTGACTTGATTTGAGTTCTGAGTATATGCTCCTAAAAGGCAATAAAGTTATTTGTAGTTGTATTTGCCCTCCAGCTGGATTTGTAGGCCCACATTCTACACTCTCTCTTAGCCTGAAGCAGATACACATATGTATTGGAGAGCAGAATAATTTAATCAAAGGACCTTTTGATATGATTGTTCAACATGTTGCAGTTCACCTTGCCTCTGTCCCAACCTGTGTGTTTTTTCCTTCATTTGCAATGCAGGTCCAAAAGTCTAGCTTTTCATGCTATCCGCACAAAGGTGACAAATTCTGACAGTGGACAAGATATAGAGAATGGAGACATGACATCTGGCATCTCATTCACTGAAATCTATCTGAACCAAGAAAATGACAAGTCACCTTTTAGTATAGACACTGAAGAAGCACAGCCAGACAATTCTTTCATTTTGCATCCAAATATCAAATACCCAGAATCAGAAAATTTACCAGAATCTCTTAAAGAAACTAGCCATGAAAGAAGTACAGAGACGGTAAAAAATTCTGAGGAATACCAGGATAAGCTCTATATGCATTTAAAGGAAAATCTCAGTAAAGTGAAGGCATATCTTGTGGAGATTGGGAAGAAAATTCCTATCCCAGATCAATGTGTTATTGAAGGTAAGAGGCCTGAACCTTTCAAATGATGGGACCCTTAAAAGAACAAGTTAAAAAAATATGTCAGTGAACATGCAGACTGTCAGCCAAGGTCCTCTTGGCATCAGCTTTTATATGGGTTGATACATATCTTACAAAACAGTGTCATTACAAACTACAGCATTTTGAATTCTTAATAGCTCTGAATTGTTCCCTTCAGCAGTCCACTACATCCTGCCCCATGTTCATAGTTTTTGCACACTCCATCCTCATTCTGAAGTGAAAGGATCTGTGACTGTGATGATCGCTGCCCTCTGGCAGAAACCAGGCAGGGGATCAAACCATGGTCCCCTAGAACAAAATGCACACACTGCTACCATTTGATATAATGAGCTAGAAGACTATGCGTAGGGCCTGTAACAACTCATGTTGTCTATGCTGACAACAGAGAGACTCATTCATACATGGTCACACAACAGATGCTGGAGATGGTTCAGAAAGTCTAATTCTCCTTTCTTATTCATAAAAACTGATGAAATCTGTGGAATTATATGAAGCAAACCAAAAAATCAGAACCAGAATCACAAGATCAGTGTGTTCCACAGTGCTACATCCTGATTCAATGAATGACTCCCAGTGACTTCACTGAGCTTACTTGGCACCCTAATTATCTTTTCCTCATGCTGTATCATGATTCCTGGCATCTTCATTTTATGTCAATAGCTATTTATTTGCAAATACTTGACAATGCTGTCCTGTGAGGTTGCTGTGGAGGCCCTCAGCATACAGCAGCACTGGCCTCACTCTAATACTCCTTTGCAAGTTTAAATTTTTAAAAGCCAGATTCTAAACCATTTACTCTCACTGGGCGCATCTACACATGCACCCCACTGCACAGTTGGTAGTGCCCAATCAGTTAGTACTTGCTTTAATACTTGCCTTAGCAAGTACTAAATAATTGTGCAGTACCGGTACTGGTACTGCACAGTCCTGGCAGCACAAGGGTTATTTCTAAACCTCCTGCACAGTAGCAATGAGCTACTGTGCAGTAGCTCATTACTACTGCGCAGTAGTGTTGTCATCACAGTTAGCGCCCACCGATGCTACGTTGCCATAACAGCAAGCTACGTCACTGAAGCTCATCGCTACAGTGACGTAGAATCTCATGTAGACGTGCCCTCTGATGAGCAATTACTTATGTGACTACTGTCACTGATTTCCAAGGAATCTGTAACAGCCTGCCAAACTGATTTCAGTGGGAGTATGCCTACCTCGAATTACTTCTTGTATTTCATACTTTGTCCCTCTGTGATTAAGAAGCTCATGCTGAGTCTAGAAAACAGCTGAATTTGTGACTTGAATAAGTAATTCTAATAATCTGATCACTTAAATATTGTGCCATAGCAAGATATAAAAAGGGCCTTTCCTGTTGACAGTTGTCCTTTTGGAACAGGGATGTCCAATCCCCGGCTTGCAAGCCAGATCCAGCCTGCACAGACATGTCATGTAGCCTGCAGGGCTCTTCAAAGGTCCAGAAATTTGACAGCAGGGGAGTTAATTGCCATTTGCCTGCTGCCAAATTTCCAGACCCTTGGGAATCCCTGCAGATTAGATAATGCAGCTCTTCATATCAGATCATGCCAGTACAGAGCTGGATCCAGGTGATCGAGCAGCAGGAGGCCAATATGGGATTGCGCCAGTATGTGGCTAGATCCAGGTGTGCAGGATGAGGTCCATGGAATGGCCCTGTATGCCAGCCCTGCACAGTATCTGGCCCACAGACCAACCCCGTGCCACTCATCTGGCCTGCAGGAGCAGAAGGTTGGGCACCATTGCTCTAGTATTTTTTAGCTGTTAATTCATTTAGTGGCTACAGAGTTGAAAAGTAGTTTTCACCTGCAAAAGATATGTTTGCATAGTTTGTTTTTGCAGACATTGGAGGAACATGTCTCAAAGGTCAGCTTTTCTGTTGGTCCTTTTGTTGTCAAAGATGTTGGTATGTCTTGTTGCTTCAGTAAATTGCACTGGGGTTTGAGAATTAATGCATACTGGTGGGTTTGCCTGAAAAACTAAATGAGTCTCTCCTTTTCAATATAGCAAATATTTTTAAATGTATTGTTCAATGCCATCTTAGTGCCAAGAAACAGAAATTCCTATTATGATGATATTCTAAGCATGTGATTTTTTTTTAGAATTCATTCAAACTCTTGTAATTTCCTGGAAAATCTTCAGCCAGCATTCTTGAGGAAATTCCTTGAGGGGAAGACACATGTGTAGAGTAGAAGATTTATATGACTCAGTCTAAAAACATTCACAGAAATGCATTCATACTCATTACCCTGAGGATGGTTTGTTCATAGTTCAGATATTGCATAAACCACACAATCACAAAGCTGGCAGTTATTTGACTGATATGCTTTCTGAATGTAAAACTGGAATTTGTTTAAATGTATATTTTTATACCTTCTTAAGCTGTTTATAAAACATTCTGATTCATTTAAAATACAGCTAGTTAATGTTACATTGGCTTATTAAGTCTTTGCTGAATGTACGCTGAAATCAATAGTGAGATGTCATAAGATACACACAGGCATTATGTTTAGGTTGACCTAACTAGGGATAAATGCCCATCTGTGTAGGCATTCAGAGAGGTTAAATAAGACAAAAAAATACTATGCCTGATAGGTTAACCTGATCTATTGAATGCCTGTTTTTGGAGAGCAGCCCTGGGTCTGGGAAAGCCCAGCCCCAGCTCCAGGGCTGTGCTCTTTTTATGCCTTCCCCTCTCCCTGCCCTTCACTCCTCACCTCCCACCCCGACAGGGATATTTTTAGCTCCTTGACCCCTCACACCCAGACGGAAAACCCTGCCATAGACCTGCCAACCCCACCCTGTGCCACCCCACCAGCCCTTCCCAATCCCTCTCTCCCCTCACCCTGAGTTACTTACTCCAATTTCTTGTGTAAGCTGCATGAACATAGACCTGGTGCAGTGAAAGTCTGATGCACCCGTAGTTGTCACTGCAAAGGCATTCATGGTTTGGTTATGTGGGAAGCGGAAAGAGTAGGAAGGAGAGGAGAGGAAGGGAAAAGTTGTTGGGGGAAGAAGTAGGAAATACCTCATTTGATAGAATAAGAAGCAGCCATGACAGCAGGTGCTCATAAGACTAAAGGACATGTACTGAACTTCAGCAATTGGAGTTGGTCCAGCATGCCTCTATTCCTGTATGTCCCTGTAGGTCCCTTACGACATTTACCACAAACTGAACCTGACCCCTCCCTAGCCCTAATCTGGGTTTTCCCAGACATGTCCTCTTGTTGGGTCCTTCCATCTCTGTCCAGGAGGTTTTTAAAAATATCAACAAATGTCTGAGATTTTGTTCTGCTCAGCATCAAAGTTTTTCCTGGCACTTCTGGGCCTAACCTAGCAAGAAACTGCTTGGGGCTGGGGGGAATGCGGGTAGAGCGATTGGAGGTAAGGGGCTTCATGTGCATCTGCGTGCGCGCACACACGTGGCCAGCATGCAGCCAGGCAGGGTGGTGAGATCAGTCCCAGCTCCATGTAGGTAAGTCTATGGGGAACAGGGGTTGGAGGGCTAGGGCTTGGGGATGGAAGGGGTGTGGGTGTGGGTGTGGGTGTGTGAGGGGGCGGGTATGTGCTGGTGCTGGGAGAAGCTGTACAGACACTGGGACTGCAGCAGGGCAGAGGAGGTGGGGGAGGCACCTGCCCCTCAAGTTGGGGAAGGGAGTGGGGTGGTGGGGAACGGCCATCAGGGACAGCAGGAAGTTGCAGGGCCTGGCAGGCAGCACTGAAACCAGTGTCCTTGCTCTTGTTTGCAGCGGCGGGGCAGCCGGGAGATGAGGCAGGGCTGGGAGGAACAGGGGGCTGTTGGACAGGAGTAAGGGGCACTGGCAGGGCTGAAAGTGCTGTGGCTTGAGAGTCAGGGGTGGGTCAGGGCACTGGCATATCACTGCTCTCCCCAACAATCATGTGCCCCCCCCAGGTGTCCTCCTCTTGATACTGGAAATATGGTAACCCTATCTAATTCATCACTTCTCTGACAGCAGACCAGGTTTCCTGAAGATTTAGAAGCAAATGTTCTTGTCTGCAGTTCTGAATATTAATGTCAATAGCCTTGTTGACCATGGCTACTTGAGATATGTGCATATAATTGGCTTGCCTCTGGTGCTGCCTCAGGTGTTCTACAGGTTCGAAAAAGCTTTACTTTAATTCTCATTTCCCCTGACTTTTCCCTTAGTTTTTAATCTGTATCTGAGTCCTAAATCACTCAGATACATCTATAAGCTTTACAGATATGAGCTTTTTCTGGTTGTTTATTCATTTATCTTTTATTCATTTATAATCAATTTCAAAAAAGTATCGGGCAGATTCATGGATGACAGGTCTACTGATAACTATTAAATGGAACAGTCAGGGATATATCCTGTGACATCTCTAAGCCAATGATGGTTGATGGCAGGGAGGATGTTACAGGGGATGGATTAGACCAGTGATTCTCAACCTTTTTTAGACTCAAGGCACCCCTCATTAGATTCAAGGCTCCTCTCAGAAAATAGTAGCTCTTAGCTTTCACGTGTTTCTTGACTACAGAAAAATAATAAAGCAATTCTTCTGTTTCAAAGAAGTCAGAAAGACCACAACAGGTCATCATGTTTTGGCACCATGGATTCCTATTTAAAATATCTGGGTTCATCTTGTGAATCATGAGTATGTTTCCACACCTAACAGTGTTATTTAACACAGCATGCTGTGGCACCTTTAAAAGGGTCTCTTGACACCTTGGTTGAGTAGCACTGCATTAGACCATTAATCACAGGTCTTATGTTCTTTAATGTGAGTTGCACAAATTAATCCAAGTATCAAATTATATCATAGTAGTTAAGAAGTTTAAGCATTTAGAAAAAAAGTATGTTTTCCAACCCTTAGAAGCACCTGAAAATGGAGATCATCACTCCTCTGAATCATGTCTCCTGTAGTGAGTTTGAGGGGAAGCTGTTCTTTCC